TCAAAATAATTTCGGATTACGCTATTCACATTTACATGAAAATAATTGAAAAACACCAGCCGTAGAACTCCAACTGGGTAACAGTTCATCATGCATTAAATTAGCTAGACAAGACGACAAAATATATCAAAATTCAAAAACAATAATTGGAAAAAATTGTACATTTTTAAAAGGAAATAGGGAAAGAATAATAAGTTTTCATTATTTTTATACTCTATAATAACGAAAGAAACTTACGTTACAGAAGTGTTAAGAAAATGGTACAGAGAAGGTAAATATTATTAATTAGATCTCCTTGATAAAAAGATTAATTGCAATTGCTTATTGTCATATTGTGTCGCGGTCACAGGCGCCATTGATACCAGAGAAGCAAAACGAGATCACATTCATAATATAAACAATAAGTTTTACTTTCAATTTTTCAAGGTTATATTAATTAAATTTTCACGACTAAGAAAAAAACAACATACAAAAAGAGATATAACCTACGTAATTATGCAAATAGTTTGTATATGAGCAGTGCTATGTACTATTAATATTTTTTTCTTAAATATTATCTAATAATTGTTATTAAGCTTCCTGTCTAGTACTTAACTATTTACATGTACATATATATTATGTACTTTGTCTTCTTCTATTTATAACCGAAGACGCTTTTTTACACGAGTGAAGGATGTGGATATTTGAATATTAATTTCACAATAAAAAAAGGTATTCAAAAATTAAAACTCGTTTACTGAAATACCACGCTCGAAAAATTATGAAATAAGAAAATATTCTTCTATTTTTCTAAAATACTTATGTACAAAATATTTAATATTTATCATCTATTAAATAAACAACTTACACGTAATTATTATATTTTAATGTACCTATTTAATACATCCCTATTCATAGTGCTGTTCAGATGAAAGCCGTGGTCGTATGCCACTTTAATCGCTCTACTGTTAGAATGATTGTTTTGTTAGGGTAGGTTTGTGGCATACGACCACAGCTATCCTCTGAACATCACTAAGAATATGTATTAAATACATTTAAATTGAGTTGTTGCGGGTTGTATTATACCGAAAATATAAAAAAATATAATTATATAAATATATAATTATATTTTCCCGTGGGAATGAGATAAGCTTCCGAGACAAAAGTAGCCGATGTCACTCTCTAGCCCTCAGTGGCGGATTTACACATTTGCCGGCAGTAGACCTCTATAAGTGTCAGTTCCTAGATTATTGTGACAATCCAACGACGAATTAGAGTTAAGATTGCACAAGAAATAGTTTTTGGGTATACTTCTGAGCTAATAAAAGCTCAATCATGTACTACTAATAAGGCGGGATAAAGTAAGCCTTAATACTACTTACACAATAATGTACTTTCCCGATTTCAGTCATAAATTTTTGCCAGCCATAATTTCTTGAACCAACATTAAGAAAAATTGAAAAATTTGTCTTAGTGGTGAACTATATTACATGTTGAATTGTTTTTGTGGACCTAATAACATTTAGGTATGAAACTTTAGGTAAGTATGATTTTTTTTTAATTTCTGTACGACAAAAAAAAGTCTTGGCCCCAAATTTGCCGCCAAATCAAATTATGATAAGTAGTTTAAAAGTTACAAGGGAACAGATGAACATACATACATACCGGTCAAAATCATAACCCTCCTTTTGCTTCACCTTAGTCGGATAAAAAAAAATATATCGTCAATCAACAACACTTGATAATTCGCGTAACGTCAATACTCGGTGGACGTTATCTAACATATGCTAATTAAATAACAGTATCTCTACTCGCTTTACGCATTATGCAAGTATGCCATTGAATAAACTGCGTGAATCTAGATTAATTAAATTGCCTACAAGCGGTCGAGCATGTGTCTTACTTGTGTGTCGGCGTCGGCGTTGAAATTAGAAATTTTTACTCAATATTTCTACAGGTCAAATGCTTGCTCGCATCTAGTTGTATATTTCGGTTAACGACAAACGAACGATGGCTATTGTAGTCAATACTTTTTGGTATAGTTTTGGAAGAAGGCAAAAAAGTCGTAAGGATCTCTAAGTTTTCTCTTTTTCTATGTCACCTCGTAGTGAATAGTGTTTTACGTAATATCGAGTAGGAGTAAACTTTTATTTTTTATATCTACGAGTATGACAATTGCGAAAATTGTATAAAATTACGTAATGAACACAACTTGCAAATGTATCGATTATATCGTTTTATACAAACCATAATTACATATTACTGTTGGAAGTATTCGATGCGGTATTATGTAAATGTCGCACACAATAGAATTAACATTTTAGTATATGGTATAGTCTCGTTATATCATATTGAGGTACTTACTGTACTGTTGTGTACGCGCACAATTGCACGGATACAACACACCCTTTCCAATCTCAAAGAACGACCTTGTAGGCCACACTCGTAGCTAACGGAACGTCATTTTGCGTCCGCGTTTTAATATAATAATTCAAAAGTATTTCCGGGACATATTATGTTGTAATTTACATATATATTATAATTCTTTACATTCTATATTTCGTACAAAAAAATGTTTTATTAGAAGCAAACTGAAGTTATACAAGTGGTAAAATAAGACAAAAAATATGGTATTTAATAAATTAAGTAGGTATATAAATTAAAGCCATTTAGTTATCATCAAGTATTAAAATGAATTGCGCATAAACGTGTTCGTTTATTCCTTTATATTATAGGTACTATTACGATTCATAATATTTTCTCCACGAATTTTATCATAATAATTATAAATGTCAACTAGCGCCTCATCCTTGCTTCGCTCGGGTTCGCATCAAAAAAATATAACAAACAATCTATTCCATAGGAACCATACATTTTTATAGAATAAAAGGAGAGAGAGCCTATATGCTATTCCAGACTATAATATATCTCTGTGCCAAATTTCATCCAGATCCGTTCAACCTTTCTGGTTTGATTGAGTAACAAACATCCAAACATCCATGTACATGTGTGTGTGTGTGTATTCAGCCCCTTTTTTACGTCCCTCTGATGGGCACGGGCCTGCCTTTAGTACGAGGAGGATCAGGCCATAGTCCACTACGTTGGCCAAGTGCGGGTTGGCGGACATCACATGTCTTTCGAAAACTTGCTAGGTTCTCTCAGATATGCAGGTTTCCTCACGATGTTTTCCTTCACCGTAAGGCAAGTGGTAATCATGTTAGAAATGATTCGCACATGAAAATATCAGAGGTATAAGACCCGGGATTTGAACCCGGCTTCTCTCGGTTTCCCAAGCGAGCACATTACCACCGGGCTACCACTGCCTACACTTCTATCTGCACCCATCTACACTTTCACATTTATAATAGGTATTAGTAAGATGATCTTATTTTAACGTAACCGTACAACATTATTATTAATTATTATACATTACATAGTTAACGAGGCAGTACACTAATTATTAACTGTACGAAGAACGTCATAACTTAAAATGTTCTTTCAAACACATGCACAACATACTCGTAGAATAAATATAACCTAGTCCTCAAATTAGTTATAATTAATGTGTTAAAATTATTATTTCATTGTTTAATTAAAAGTATGTGAATTATATAATAATAAAAAACTTTAGATGTAGGCACAGAAATCTTAATAATAAGGTTTCTGTGGATGTAGGTAATATATAAAGACGCGTAAGTATAATATGTTGAAGCACAAACGCAATCAAAAGTAAAAAAAGTAGTCTTGTCTTATGACGAAAACATAAAATTATACGATGAATTTCTTTTTTGTATAGGTGATATCGCTTTATTGCATACTAGCGACTTATTCTCGCTTCGCTTGGGTGCATCCCTAGGTACTTCTTAAATATTCGTACATATGAATAGTTATTGTGAGTGAACCTTAGGAAAAAACTAGGCTATTGTAGATTTTTCTGTAGGCCTTATTCCGGACTAAAGACCGTTCTAAGGACGACTCAATAGAACCAGTTATTGTGTTTTCCCGTGGGAATTAAAAGACTTTCCTATAGTAAAAAATATCCTAAATGTTAACCCGAGTTATCACTACACAAAATTTAGTCAAAATCAGTCAAGTACATTTTGCATGAAACGCGAACACACAAACAGACATACAGATAAACGTACAAACAGGCAAACATACCTACAAAAAAATAATGACTATTATTTTGGTGTCTATATTCTGTACATAATACGTTACAGTCATTGTTTTTAAAAAAATATTTCATGTTCAGATTGTGCTAAGTTAGGTACTGTTTTATTATATTTATAGATCTTTTACGTAGGTACGATACGTAATAAAAACTTAAAAAAATAATACAATAACCGACTTCCAGGCACTAAAATGTAAAAAAATAACTAAACGGGGCTTTTCATTTAGAATAGATAGATACCTAATTAGATATTTTCGTAGCCGTTGCCAGCCGATGCAAAGCAAATCTAATATATTTCGATACATAAAATACATATTTACCTATTAGATATTCATATCTTAAAATATGGCTGGCACCGACTTCGAAAATATCTGATTATGTATCTACCTATCCTAAATGTCTGGAAGTCGGTTTTTCTAGTTTTTATTTTTCCATTATTAGTGTAGACGTAAGAAGCAGGTAATTTGCAAAAAGAAAGTTTTTTAATAACATATTCGATTAAAAAAATTATTAAAAAAAATAATTTATTGTTGATTTTTTTTTAAACCGCTCGACCGATTTCGATAAAATTTATATGGGACCACCTGGGAAGTATACCGATTGAAACAAAAAAAAAATTCAAATCGGTTCAGGCGTCTTCGAGCAATCGGTGAACATTCATAAAAAAAAGATTATGACGAATTGAGAACCTCCTCCTTTTTGTTATTCGGTTAAAAACAATAAAAAAAAGAAAGTTTATTGATAAACAGATGTGATAAAGATACTGTACTATTTTGGCTTTGCCTATTTATATACAGATATATAGTGTAATTCCAAATAAAGATTTGTCAAGATCATGTTATAATTTCAGGTTCGAAGCGTCTACTTCCCACGTGAACTGCTGCGCCCGAGTTCCCTTCTGACCAATTTAGTATTAGATGAAAGCAGATCATCAGCCTCCCGACATTCTGCTACATGTGACAATATTTTTGCCTACATCACTGACACCGTAGCGCCTGGTAAGGAGTTTGCAGTTTAAATATGACTTTGATAATATTTATCCGTGAGCTGTCCTCACTTTAGTGATGTGAGGTTATTAATATTTTAAAAATTCAAGTTATATCTGACATTCAGTTCGAATAGAAAACTCGAAGAGCTAAAAAATAATAATCTATGCCGCAATCGGTGTTAAGTGTTGGATAATAATAAACAGACATTTTCTTTGTTTTTATAACGAACAGGTTTTTCTTAAGCTCTAGTAATTTACCCATATAGATATATTATTATTTGTTATTTTAACTCAATTTCGCATTTCTTATCAAGTTGGAGTAGGTATAATGTAACAGTATGTTAAATTTATAAATATTAATTTTACTGTTTTTATTGATTTAAAAATAAATGTGAAGGATAGGTTTTTCTGTTTAAGTGTATAAATAACGTGAGACACATTACGAAATAGGGAGAAAATATTTATCAGATACAGGAAACTTCATATTTACTCGTATAAGTAGTTTAAATGCGATTCAACTTGATTTTTATAATACGAACTATAGAATTACATATATACATTATTAAAGAAAGTCAAAATAATTCATCATTTTTGCTGTTAAGTGTTGGATAATAATAAACAGACATTTACAACAACAACAACAACTCTGATACAGCAAAAATGATATCATCGTCGAAAATAAAAATAGAAAAACGTTTATAGCTAAAGAGCCCGGAAAAAGTAATAAATAATTCAAATCTATGTAAAGAGACATATTCTTTATTTGTTTATCTAAAATAATAATACAATAAAGCATCCATATTAAGTGGACCTAAAATATTTGTTCTAATTTATTTTTTATATTTCTAGGGATTAAAATATAATTTAAATACTAATTATTTAAACTTAATACACATAATTGTTGAAATATCGACAAACTTTAGTGTACCCATAGAAAACAAAATAAAAGTTCTCCTCTTTCTCTTTACCGTAAGCGTGCGTCCCTAAAATATGAACGTTAAAAAATATTATAAATTTACATACAAAATATAATCTTTCTTCCACGGCTTGTACTTTAAAAAAGCAAAATTATCTAGAATTTTGTAGGTACGCTATAAATATCATAAAATTATTAATTTTATTTTACTGTAGCGGAACAAATCGCGTGATTCACGCCGCGGAGTATACAACTTAATTATTGCAAACAATGATTTAAAAGGAAAACAAATTGAACGGTCTTTAATTATTGGCATGCATTGTATATGATATAGTTGGCCCCATTAAGCTGTTTATTAACTATAGATAGATTTTTTATAAATTCTCTACACTATTATATTACATGATATAAATTTAAGAGTTCTAATTCAATGGCATATTAATTTTAATATGTCACTACATAAACACGCAGAATAGGCGCATAGTCGTCGAGTTGCGGAAAATAGCCCGAACATACCATACCATGTCACTAAATTAATAAAAGTTCTAAAATTATAGATTACAATTAACACTATATAAAATAAATAAATAATAAAATAAAAATAGTTTTTATTTCTTAATCATCTTTACATTTTGTGTTCGAGTCTTCCCAGTAAGTAATCCGAGGATACTTGTGTTGGGAATGGCCGCTTCTTCCCATATGCATACTCTGTGATTAAGTTAGGTGAAAAACTTTTTTTTTTAAAACTATATAATACTAATATAGGATAGTTACATGATTAAAATTATTTAAAGCAAAGAAAGTTATACAAATTTACAATATTAACAACTGAAGGTTGTTATCGCCTGTACAATTTCACTAGTTTTAATTTATAATGTTAGGAAGTTACTAAGTATATGTTACTATATGTTATGGTAAATTTCAAATAAAATATATAAATATAGAAACTCCACGTTAATAATTGCTCTTGGAAATTCTGAACTCGTAATTTCTGAGTAAAATTTTACAGTAAATAAATAATTGTTTTATAGTGTTTTTTAACGTAATGGAATAACACATATTATGTATGCACGTACACGCATACAAATGGTGCATTTTATAGTAATATATATCTATGTACCTATTCTTTTCCTTGTAATATTATGTATTTTATATCGATTTTTTTCACGGCAATTTACATAAAATATAACTTGCCATTTTATTACTACTTTTTTATTGTTGTTAATAAAAAAAAACGTATATTATTTCTCGAATGTAGCCATTTAAAATTAAAATATTTTAATTCCGTTTTAACGCGAATTCTTCACCGTTTAGGCAAGCCAACGACGTGTGTCCGAGCACGGCTTTCTCCAAAAATTACATAAATGTAAACGGGTCTACTTGTTGCAAATGTTTGAATTATTGCCGGAACGGTCAATCGATGAAACTGATCCGTCCTATTAAATATTTATCAGGCACAAACTCTAACTACACACTGACCTGATTTTTCGCATAGCGCCGTAATATATTTTTCAGATACATTAATCAACGTTATTGCTAATTTAATTTTAATTGGTGTTTTCACTCTATTTAGTACATTAAATTGTGTTTAAATTATTATATATACTTCATTTTAGTCAACATTTTATTTATTGTAGTCAACCAGTGATGCAGCATTAAGGCTAAAATCTTTTTACAAAACTAAAAGAACATAATATGTCGGTGATTAATAAATGTTAGACGATACTAGAAATTATAAGCTATCTATCTTAAATTTTAAGTTCAAGAAATGTAATGGGTAAATTAAATCCATAAAAACCAACAATATTATTCCAATCGTATTAAGCTTAATGCATTGAAAGTACAAAGTATGTTTTATAAAAGAAATAATGAATTACTGAGTAAGTAAAGAGTACCTCATATATATAAAGGATAACATAACAGCTTGCTCTAATTTTACATTATTTTTTTGTTTTGTATGTCTTAAGAGTGACTTATTCGTAGTATAGAAGTCTAATGTAGTTGGTTTAAAAAAACTATTAATAATTATTCTTTATTAATAGTTTTTTGGGTGTTTAAATTTTGAAGTAAGATTTTGTACCAATTTATAAAATATCGTGCAACACATAGTTTTTTGTTTAAATAAACTAAAATAGATATGTTATGAAATGTAGCGATAAATATAATTTTTTTTGTTAATTAATATCGCCATAATGTAATAAAATATTATACTAGTTTTTGCCTTCAACTCCACTCGCGTAGTTTATTTATGTGTAAGATCTCAATTTTTGTCTCTGAAGGGTCGTAATAGTCAATAAACCTGCCTTAACAAGTAGGATATAAAATATTTTTTTTTTAAATTAGACTAGTAGGGCTAAAACTTAGCACGTTTAAATAAAGAAATGCACAATAAATATAAGCATATACAATATGTTCTTACTTCTTTTCAATTAAACATTGTTTGATTCAGGTATCATCGTATACGACGGTCGCCGCGACAATGCGTGGCGTGTGACCCATGCTTCGATGTACCCCGACCCTGATCTTGGAGAATACGACATTCTTGGAGAGAAATTTACTCTTATGGACGGCATCATTGGCGTAGCTTATTCACCCGCTCAAGGGCTTTTGTATTATCAGCCTTTAGCAACTGACAGGTAAAATAACTAGCCATAATATAATATAACAATACACATTTTATTTCTTATCCGTATCCTTCTTTTTTTTTTGGCGTTTGCACATTAATAAAAGAGTTTTTCCAGTTGAACCAGGTTGAACCAGGCGAGATTGAAATTTCACCCCCAACGTGCGTTGACCTTGTCGTGGTGGGGGGGCTCAGTAGTGCCCGGTAATACAGCCGGGCGCGAAGCCTAGAAACGCACTAGGAGGTGGCCCGCTTCGGTGGGCGGCGGGAGGTGGCCCTCTTTGGAGGGCGGTGTACCATGCGGGTTGTTCCTGGTACTTCTCTGATAGCAGAGTGGACCTTGGAGCAACCCCGTGGTTGTTGTGCTGTGGTCTGCTTCGGCAGACCTGCCGTCGGGGCGTCGTAGTTGAATGCGTAAGCGATCCTGCGACGCCCCATTAAAACGGGGGAAGGTTTTGTTGGGTTTTAGTGGGTAGTACTGGCTTCGCCGGTGAGTCCCACACCTCGTGCGTAAATGCGTTTCCCAACGTTAAAAAAAAGGCGAGATTGAAGTTGGCTATTATAGCATGTTTTGGTTTCGAAAACATCATCAGCGATATTTATGATCATTTTTCATTATAATTTCAATATAAACAAAGTGTTTAAACAAGTTAAATTATGATAACTACATACTTCAATGCTGCTACAATTGCATATACGAACTCACCGTTTTATTGTCTTAAGTCAAACATTAAATTGGATATCATAATTCACTACTTTCTAGTGTATGTTTTGGCAGCAATAGCTGTTAACTAATTCGATCTCGATCTCTTAAACTATTAATATTCTGGCTATCCAAAAGAATATATGTAGAGTGTATGTATGTATGTTATAACAATACCTTATGGTTTTTGTTACGAGTACTTTATGAAATGTAGAGCTAATGTTACAGAAACACTAATTATTACTTACACGATGTTTAACATTTACATTTTATTAGTTAATCTATCTATCTCAACTCATAAATGTTTCTTTGTTTCCAGGATATTTAGTGTGTCAACAGCAGTTTTAGCATCGGGTCCACCAGCCGAAGGAACTGATTTGCCAGTTAATTTAGTTGGACGAAAATCCTCTCAAGGGATAGCAATTGCTGTAGATCCACGAGATGATACTATTATCTTTAGTCCTATTACTGAAACAGCTATTGCCGCTTGGAATCCTATTACCAACTCGCATAGGTATGAAAAAACCAAACCAAACCAAAAACCTTGGCAGTCGGATAAAAATTTAAATTAACTTGAAAGAGTTGCTACTGACTTTCTTTATATGTTATTCTCAGAAATCTTATTTTATAAAATTATAATATGCTCTTCAATACGATTTCTGAGTCTCCAATTTTTTCTTCCCTTCAAAACCAATGTTATGCTTGCGCAATATCTTTTATTGACTATACTCGACTACGCCGATATACCTATGATATTTGGATGTGACAGATGAGCTACTGAATAAACTTGAGTCTCCAAAATCTCGCCATACGTTGTACCTATGGACTACGTAAGTATGTTCATGCTTCCGACTACCGAGCTCAATTTCAATGGCTCCCTGTCCGCTTTCGCCATGATATCCACATCTTTTTGTTTCTGTTTAAACTTTAATATTCTTCATAATTTCAATTTTCCTTCTTACCTTCGTTCCCGGTTTAACCTGCTTCCGATTCCCACACGTTCCAGGCGGCCCTGCATCATATCGATGCTTGAGATACTGAGAACTAACACCAAGTTTTTACAAAACTCTTTCTCGGTACGTGCTGCGGTGCTATAGAGCATACTCCTTAAAATCCGATGGGAGAGCGCTTTAAAATTTTTCTCTGTACTTTCTGTTTCTGTCTCGCTACTTAATAATATATCCTACATACATAGGTTGACTGGAAGAAATCTTCATGATCCACGTCACTTTCAAAGTTCATTTCAAAATATTTTCGTCATTTCAAATGTATTTTTTGTATGACTACTTTTTGTGATATAAAGAATATATTATATAAATAAATATATAAAATTAATATATCATCAGAGTTTTTATAAAACTGTAAATTGTAATTTATTTCCAGAGTTCTAGCCCAAGATAGCGAGAAACTGCAGTTTTGTGCTGATGTGCGATGGGCGGAGCGCGATAATGGCGCCGTGTGGGCTCTCTCCACGCGCTTCCAGAAGTACTTCAAGCGTTCCGTATCGAAGCATGAGGTATGTTCTCAAGGAGAGACGAAAATGAAAACAGTTCATTAATAAGAAGAGGTCAACTGAAACTAATGTTTGTGAATTAGTCCATCATGTCGGTTCTGTTATGGAACAGGGCTATCAGGTAGACGTTGTGTATACCGACTATTCTAAAGCATTCGATATAATATCTCATCATGTGTTAATAAATTAACTTGAAGAAGTGGGTATACACGGCGATTTGCTTCGTTGGTTCACGTCCTATCTGCGCGATAGAAGTCAAGCAGTGACTATTAAAGGGTATTGCTCAACTTTTACTCCAGTGATCTCGGGAGTACCCTAAGGCTCACATCTCGATCCACTTTTGTTCAATTTATATATAAATGATATCTCTCTAGTATTTCAACCCTCATCAATCTTATTTTATGCTGATGATATGAAAATTTTTAGAGTTATTTCTAATCCGTTAGATTGTTTTCTTTTACAAAACGATCTAGATGGGCTGATTCGGTACTGTTCCAACAATTTTTTATTCTTAAATGTAAAGAATTGTAATGTCATCTCTTTCTCAAGCTAAACACGATTTATAAGACACGATTATTATTTAAATAAATGATAAATTGGACAGGGTGACTGAGATTCGTGATTTGGTTATATACCTTGACAATAAAATGAATTTTAAATATCACATTAGTCAAATTACCGCTAAAGCTTATAAAATGCTTGCTTGCTTGTTCTTAGAGTTAGTAGGGACTTCATTTATGCTACTGCATAAATCGCTTGTGTGACCTTGCATAGTATGGAATCCTAGCTACAAAACTCATATTGTAATATTAGAAAAAGTACAAAACAGATTTTTAAAGTATCTTCAATATAAATTCTCTACCGTATACCAAAACAACCTAGTATTGTCCTCCTTGCCGCGTCGTCGAATGGAGAGAGATCTATTATTTCTTTCTAAGTTACTAGCATTGCCAGCGGCTCCGCCCGCGTTTAAATGACCAAAAACCAAATTCTTAGGTTTTATATATTAGTATACTCTTACTTTGCAGTTTTTGTATTTTTTCTCAGAAATGAGATATTTTCCCGCGGTAAAAAGTATTCTATATGTTGACTCGGATAACCAGCTATCACCATACCAAATTTCATTAAAATCCCTTCAGTGGTTTTTCCCTGATGCGGTAAATAATAGTTGTGCAGTAAGAACGTAAAACATTACGTATAAATTTACTGTAAATAAATAACGTACGATGTGAATGAAAAATCATGGCTTTATATTTATAATAGTATGTATGTATTTAAAGTTATATATGTGTAGTGTATCATCTATCTGGTATCCATAACACAGGCCTCGTAGCTTACCATGGAACTAGAATAGGTTAACATATTTAATATTTATTTATTTTGTATTTTTAATATGCCTTTAAAATTACAGATCAACGTCCGAGTGTTGCGTGTCGTGGAGGCTGGATATGGGGGCGGCTACGTTCCTATACAGCCACATGTACTCCGTCGAGCCGCTAATTTTACGTCTCCCCTTTACTAAGTTAAATTAATTTTTTCTACGGCTTTTTTATATAATACGCTCGTTATTTTTGTATTTGCGACATACAGGTGCATAGGTTTTAAAAGTTATGGAATTTACGTCGATTTTATTATTATTATGTACGCACACGTGCGTACAAAATATAGAACGCAGAAATACGATTTCTGCTTTTCATATTTTGTACTAAAGTAGAATTTGGTATACATAAAGAAATTAAAACATATTAAGGTCATATTAAGGTCTATAGTTCGTATCCGTATCTGAATTTGTTATATATATATCGTAGTTTTATACAATACTAGCATTGCCCGCGACTCCGCCCGCATCTAGATGACTAAAAATAAAAATTCGTAGGTTTTACATATTAGTATACTCTTTCATTGCAGTTTTTGTATTTTTTCGCAGAAATGAGACATTTTCTCGCAGTGAAAAGTATCCTAAATGTTGACCCGGATAACCAGCTACCATCACACCAAATTTCATTAAAATCCCTCCAGGGATTTTTTGTGATGCGGTAACAGACAAACAGACAGACAGACATTCTAAAAACTATAGCTTCGGCCTCTGTATCGATAATAATGTTTATTCCAATAAGATTTTCCAAAAGAATATTTTTAACTTTTTGTAAAAACATATTAATTAAGGATCTAGAAAGATACACATGACTTGTGGTATTGTAAGAAAATAGCCGGGCGTTTAATGGATTTACATAAATATAGTTGTAAAATGCTACAGACTGCATTTTTAACGGTTTAATCTTTTTCACTGAATCAGAATGCAAGATAACGTTTTTTAAATATCATGTGTATTTTTTTTTATATTATGATACATTTTATATTATGTATTCAATTTATAATGTGGACATTCAATATCTAAGTATAAAAAATTTTGTATGGTAAATATTATCTTTTTAAAAAACGCATTTAAGATTCTTCAAATTACTTACTTTTATCTATTTTTAGCCATATTTTCTTCAGCATTTTGAAATTAATATTCAACCAATTCTTCGACAATGCTAACAATATTTAAGGAAAGTCAGTTAGAATAAAGTCAATGTGAGAAAATACTTACTAAGATTAATTAAGGTTATTAGAGTTAAGTGAAATTCTAGCAGTCTGTAGATTTTGTACCGCCATAAATTATAATTGTAGTGTCCTTTGGTACTAAATCCGCTCAATATAATGTTATTTTGGAATTTAAAGTATTTATTTATGTATGAATGCAAAGATTCAGTCGGGCGTCTGTTTATGTGTAACTGTGTAATAATGTTTACTTTTTATGATACTATATTCTTAATCTATAAACATGTTTGTCTTTACATTATATGCGTCATACTTAGAAACTTTCATTTAACATATAATTTTTTGGTACTAGCTATTTTTTCTTAATTTAATTCTCAGTTACCACGTCGCATCCAGTTAGGTTACCGTTGAGTACTTAAGTTACCATTACTTTTATTTAAATAATACTTTTATATAAAGATAGTGAGTTATTTTTGTACTTTAAACATAATGGCTGTAAATATTTTATAAATTATGAAGTGAAGACATTTTATCATATAAACGAAAGAATAATATTTACTTAAAACCCATTATAAAAAATATTTATTATAAGATGATATTATGTACTTTTATAATAGAATAAATGGGCCATATATATAAATGTCTGTCTTGTTATTATTTCATACCATTTTAATTTATTATTTTTTATAATTATAATTTCCGTTAAATATAAAATTAAAATATTTTATTTGCATAAACAGATACAGAGTCGACAAAGTTTGTGGTTGAGGTCCTCTTTTATGCAAGTAATTTTTGCCTGTAATAAGAGACCCCGATCTTTCATAACAAAACGTACAGATTTAATCCTAAATCTCATTATACAAACTAATATAATAAACTTAAATTAATAGTTGCTATAGATGAAAATTAGTAGGTAGTCTTTCAAATTTATAGTTACTAGCGATTCACCCACGCTTCGCTCGGGTTCATCCCTAGTTTGATATCCATACAAACTTTCATCCCCATTTTCACTCCTTTAAGGGGTGATTTCCTGGATAAAAAGTATCCTATGTCTTTTCCAGGGCCTCCAACTATCTTCTTACCAAATTTCATCTAAATCGTTTCAGTAGATCCAGTGATTACCCCCTACAATGTCACAAACTCACAAAATCACAAACTCACGAACTCACAAACTTTACCTATTTACATATATAATGCATGTCCAAGAGAACCTAGCAAGTTTTCAAAAGACATGTGAAGTCCGGCAATCCGCAATGGCCAATGTAAAACGGCTTACGCTGCGTTTAAACTCCCGCTAAATCTCACCCGAGTTGAAATCCTCGTACGAAATATATTCAAAGAGAGTAACATAGTTTAAGTTATCCAAAAGTGCACACTTGCTGAGTGAGATATGAAATAGAGAAAGGAGATTATTCCAAATCAAAAGGAGAGTTATGGACAAATTCTATAACAGACCTAGAGCGCGCGAGAGAGAAAATCTAGCTAGAGTGTTTCTTGATGTTTCTAATAGATGGACAAAGAAAGTCTTGACTTGGTTTTGTAAACGTGATACACTGAACCCCAAAACCAATAGTGCTACTGCTTTTAATAAAACTCTGCTTATGTCCTTTGAAGGGTGGAAATAGAATATAGGTCTGTCGATTCAGTAATTTAAAATCTCATGTGGAGTTCCTTAACAGAGTTAACCCACCAGGCCTCCTTTCCTCTTTTCTCATAAATTCCTTCTGAAGGTTGGTGCACCTATAATGAATAAGCCACCTAAGCTATGTAATGGGACTAGACTGCGAGACACTGTGTTTGCTGGATGTACTCGGAGTCGGGGGAGAATCACTATTCCTGCCTCTAATACCACTGATAGCCTCTGACTACGCCTTTGAATATTTTAATCTATTGTAATTCCTCCTTAAAGTTTGTTTTGCAATGACCATTAATAAATCTCAAGACAGTCGTTAAAAGTAGCAGGCATAGACCTAGAAGAGCATTGCTTCTTACATGGAAATTTTAGCACAATCCAAAACCAGACAGAGCATCTACCAATGTGGTATACAAAGAAGTTCTTAATTTAATTCTAACTTCCCGACTTTTTTAACGTATACTAAGTTAACTGAATTTAGATTACATAATGTACACATGATATTACAAATTCATACAGACAACATATTAAAACAAATACAAGACAGAATATGAATTCAATGGAAATTAAAAAAATGGCACTTTATATTATATGTAACGGATGATTTAGCTTAAAAAAGGAGGGAGACTGTTACCCGATTTCACCAACAACCCATAAGCTACCTCCGTATGTGATTCCTATCTCATAAGTCCACTAAACTAGCCCCTAAATTAAATTTCGTTTTACGATCGTCTTTAAGCCCATATTTCGAGCACCTAAATTTAGGGGGCCTTTTAATATTTAGGTGACCCCTAACTGTCGGTGAAACAGAAACTGTCCCCTAACAGACCCCTAACCGTGCTTAGGGGATCCCTTAACCTTAGGTAACGTTGGTGAAATCGGGCATGTAAGTTTTAGTTGTATATAACATATGACCTTTAAAATAACGTAGATTTTAGTCTGTTATTTAAAAATGCTATATTAGCCAAGTTACATGATTCTAAAGTAGCAAACATTGTATGCGAGTTGTATTATTGTACGCTCTTCCTCTAAATTTCGTATAATGGAGTAGAAAAATGTACCAAATATAGAGATAGTGGAGTTTGCTAACTATTATAAACGAAAATTAATGTACAGAATTTACTATAAAAAGAAACACGAGCTTATTTTCAACCGACTTTTAAAAAGGATGAGGTTCTCAATTCGACCGTTTTTTTTGTTGGTAAGGAGATATCCCAAGGGTAGGAAGCCATGATAAGGAAACCAGGATCTGATGATGGCATCCCAGACAAATCGAGTGGAACCTTCGAAAATCGTAGTGGCGACTAGTGCGTTTGTTAATTCTTTTCATTAAGTACTTTAAAGCCCTACTATTTAATGAAGGTCTGGAGTCTATCTGGTGATGGAGCTGAAAGACAGTCGAGGGAACTCCTCAACAATTTACAGCGATTATCTGGTGTTTGCGCTTGATTTATTTGATGAGAACTCTACACCTAGATGGGTTGTGACTGTCATTAGGAGTCTGAATAAATGGCTTAATCGAATATGTTTAAAAAAATCTTTCTTCTTACAAATTACCTGCTTATTACATCTACACTGAAATAGAAAAATATTTAAAACCAAAACAATAAAAACCGACTTCCAGGCACTGAAAAGTAAAAAATAACTATGCAAAAATAAATATGCTATTCATTTAGAATAGATACCTGATCAGTACTCAGATATTTTCGAAGTCGGTGCCAGCCAATACAAATCAAAGCATACCGACTTCGAAAATATCTGATTAGGTATCTATTCTAAATGAAAATCTCCGTTTAGTTATTTTTTACTTTTCAGTGCCTGGAAGTCGGTTTTTGAAGGTTTTGCGAGTAATAAAGAATGTATTTATTTATTTATGTTTATTGGTCCACAAAACAAATGACAATCAAACACATACAAAATAAAAATAGGTTGCAATATTAATACACAGGATTGCATTTTTCTAGATGCAGACATATTATGAAAACGTAAAAAAATATTTTAGTGTGTAAATGTAAAGAATAAAGATATTAGTAAAACCAACACATATACGGCGAAACGGAACCCTCAAAGCGCGAGTTAAAATCATACTCACACGTTTGAAAATCATTACAGCCTTTAAACGAATAATAATACTTATTAGTTATAACATAAAGCCAAAGAGTTCAATATTTTTTTAGTTGTTTTAAACGCGGGCGAAGCCACAGGTACTGCTAGTTAATTAATAAATTTTGAAAATTTGTATGCAATCGGAACTAGGATTGCATTTTAATTAAATTTCACGTCTGCAATTATTAACATAATTTACCATTTTTTAATATATTATACACACTAGCAGAACGACA